GTATATTTGTTATGGAGTTTATTTCTTTTGTCCTCCATTTTTAGGTTATTTTGCAATTGTTCTTTTTCTGTCATATTAATATAAAGAAATATAAAATGGATTTTTTGTGACATTATTTTAACAATTTATTAAGTTTTATGTCAAATTATATACTTTAATATTTGTTGGTATAATATATTTATTAATATAAAAAAATAAAAGTTGAAAATTTTTTTGAATTTTCTTCTTCTGGATATTTTATTCTGATAAAAAATAAATTTAATGGAATTTATGTAGACATAAAAAGAAGCATATTGTTTGAAACAAACTCAGAGAGAATATAATAATAAAATCAGAAACAAAACGATTTATGATTGTTATGCGACCTGTTGTAAATTCTCGCAAATTTTAATCTCTCATATATTAGCTAGTGATTTATTATCTCTCCGCTTTATCACTCCATGCATTTTATAGAATTTTATGACTTTTTATAGAAGTTTTTATGATCGTTTTTTATAATCTCTCTGGTTAACTTTGTATGTTTTCATGAACAGATTAATTAATTTAAGTATTTTATATTTTATTTTTATTTTATAACGAAATATAGTGCGAAAAAATAATTGATATTTATAAAATTAGAGAATTTTATTTTACTACAACATATATATTTTTTAAAAACTACCAAATAAAAAACTTTTTAATTGTAATAGATTTAAGTAATTACTCTTCTTCTCTGCATTCTTCTATTATTCTCTTGTAATATAGTTAAAATATAAAATTTAATTAATTTCTAATTACACGTAGTGTATAAATTAAGTTAATAGAAAAATAGAAAAACATTTTCTCGTGACTGAAACCACTTCTAATGCAGAGAGAAACGTAAGATACTTTCTCGAATTGTCTTTCACTATAGTTGGTAAAAATTTTCGGTTTTTCTTTTATTTTGTGCGTTTAAAGCGAAGTAAAAGCGCCATAATCGTGAGATTTCTCTTATCTGCTCCTGTCTACTTTTGCTGCTCACAAAGAGCATGTGCGGGAAAGTGAAAGGGGGAAAACAAGACTGTTTTTCGTTTGCCAAGCAGTTAATATTATATATGTATATCATTCGGAAACATATCTTATGAAATTAAAAATCAAAGTAATAAAATTTTGCTTCCGTATTTCAAATGTTCAAAATATCATATATCATTGATCTCGGAATATCTGCATATACTTGTTCAATAATTGATATTTACAAAATATTATAATAAAAGATTGTAATAAATATTGATGATATAAGACATATACGTATATTTTTATATACTTATCTTCTGGAATTTAAAATTTTGAAAATTTACATATATCAAAATTTACATTATAATCAAGAAATTTCAAAATTTAGAAATGGAAAAATTCGCAAATTTTAAAATTAAAATTAAAAAATTTAGGATTTTTCGAAAATTTGGAAAATTACTTGCTTTAGAAATTTGAAAGTTTAAAAATTTGAAAATTCAAAATTTTAGAAGTTAAAATTAGAAAATCTACAAATATAATATTTCATAACCTTCTCAATAACTTCACTAACTAATAATTTAACTTCCCAGATAAACATATTTACCTAAAAGTATAAAATCATATCAATTTTCCAAAGGAACTTCGCGGTTTCGAGATATGAGGAATTGCTTATCGCTATAGTTTATTTTTTTTTTTTTTTTTTTTTTTTTTTTTTTATTAGTATCGCGGTTAACCATATACGCGGTTGAAACACTTTTTCTGTTGCAACGGGTGCGTCCGTATGTTGAACAACAATTTAACCGTATGTAGTTCACCTCTATACGTCTCTTAATGTAACCCAAACGGCATCCGTAAGCGGAAACGATGTCCTTTGGAAGGGGATAAATACTGATATTAACCCATCCGGTGCCACAATCATTCACGAACACTTTTATTTGATGATCTCTAGCAATTTCGAAGGGTATTGAAAATTGAATATACTAAAAAGTAAAACGAAATATTCGTAAGTAAATATTTTTAATGTACTAAATAAATTGTAGTAAAAATAATTATATTGTACAATTAATTGAATAATCTATATATATAAATGTCAAATCTTTTAATTTTTCTTTATTCCGTGAATAGAATTAGAATTTAACTTGTGCTCATAGCTTCTAATATTTTTAAAATAAATCGTTCTTTTTTCTATAATTCTCAATCTTTTTGTTTATATATGATAAGCAGTTCTTGAATTGAATTAGTATGATATTCTATTTTCATCTTTCAATATTTTTTTTCTTTCAATTTTCTATATTCAATTTAAGATCAATTTAAAATATAAATATTAACGTTTCTTTCATTTAAAAAAAAAAACAAAAAAATTCTTCATAAATTTTTTATCTAATTAATTTTTCATTTAATAATTTCAAATTTCAATAATTCCATTATTTAATAAAATTTACAAGAGATTAATACGATAATAACTTAACGTGTAATTTCTCGAATAAAAGAATCAATTTTTACAAGATATTTCAGACAATTTCCAACAAATTGTATTAAATTGAATTAATAAATATAATAAATCATAGTGATATTCTTAGTGATTTAAAGCCTGAACTTGAAAAAACCGTATAATCATTGAGTTAGTGATAATGTAGTTAGATAAAAAAAAAGTCATAAACGAGAAAAGTATTGTTCCTATTTATATTCTTCAATGGCATAGCTCGATTGTTGATTTTTGTTTAAAATATCAAATAAAATAGTTTTGTATCATTTGTTTGCTTCTAACTTATTAATCGCTTTATAAGTTACACAATATGTACGATTATATGTACAGAGGCGGAAATTAGTCTACATAATGGAACGACAAAGATGATAATCATCAAGAAAAGTATTTAGAGAGTAATAATTTGACATTTATTACTAATAAGTCTTCATAGACGTAGGCGATGATTACCAATTATAATAATGAGCTTAAGAATTTATGTTAGTTAAATTTAATGAAGAATCGAAGAGGAATTGATGATTAGAAATTATTATATACAAATTGAAATTTTCTTTTATAATTTGTATTTTTTTGAGATTAATAATTAATAGATTAATTAAAACCGATAATATTCAATGTTTTTTTTATAAAATTTATTTTCAATTTAAAGATTTATGTTTGCCTTAAATTGCCATATGAAATGTCTAATGTAAATACAATAAATTCAATAAGATTTAGGAATTGTTACTAGAAATGATATATTTTAATTTCTGTAAATAAAAATCTTTATTTAATTATTTATTTTCCAAAGTATTTATATTAAATGATTTGGTTATAGTTTCATTTATTGCTATTTAATAACTATATATTTAGTAATTATTCTTGCTTAATAAATTCTTCCCTATCCTTGCATTTAGTAATTGTACATTTTAATGTCTAGTAACAATTTCCTATTCTTTCAAATCTAATTATAGCATTTATTGACTCTCTTTATCGATTTAACCTCTTCAGAAATAAATTTGTCAAAATCAGAGAACAATAATTATTTTATCCTATATTTATTACAATATATATTTTTTACTATTATCACACATCGTATTTTCTTGAATCATATTCAAGTTAAATACGATTAATATCATTATTCCTATACAATATTAATAAATTTAAACCACATTTTTATAAAAAAAAATCACGAATTATTACAATCAAAAAAAAATGAGAAAATTATATATTCGTTTTAAAAATAAAAGTAAACGAGTAAAAATCGAAAGAATTTCACTAAAGGTGAGCCATTCACATAGAGGACAGAAACGACGATCTACTACTCTAAGGCTCGACACGATTAACCAACCTGACCAATCCACCTTCGTGGTTATCGCATTAATGTATCGATTGACCGGCCCGATAAGGGTTAAAAGGTTAAGACGAGAAGTCGCGTAGCGACCACCGCTTGACTAGAGAGAATCGAGAAAGAGAAGCAGGTCCGATGAACCTGCGGGGCTAATGTACTCGGCTCGATGATGCTCGAGTAGTTCCGTACTTGGCGCACGTGAGCACCATCGCGTGCCCCGCATACTCTTCTTTCATGCTTCTTTTCTTCATCCTACCCCTTCCCTCGTTCTATGTCCACCTCTTTCGCCGTTCAGCCCTCCTTCTCTCCTCGGTCACCCCTTTTCCTCGCATCGAGCGACTACCGTCCCTCCTCGTGGTATGTGTAACGTAACGATCTGTTCACGCGTGCCTCGATCCACTGATCTTTGTTTGAGCAACTGAAAGAATTCTTTTCAGTCTGGGCTATCTTGCACAATTAAGAGAATCTCGAAATAAGATATATTTATATGATGAATATTATAAAAAGAATAAATTGTTTTGTAAAAATTATTGTTTTCTTTTGATATTAAAAAATATATATTTTGTTACATAATAATTAAGTTGTTGAATTGAAATTTTTATTTTAATGTAATAAAATAAAAATGTGTGATTGATATATGGGATGAATTGAAGGCAAATTAGAAAGGTTTTATGAAATTTGATTGATAGATAACAAGTAACACAAGTATTATTTAATTTTTTATAAGACTTGATTATTATTCTTACAAAGACTTTGATATTTAAAAAATTTCTTTAATTAAAATATTATAGTTCAATACTAGAAACAATATTATATACATGTAGACTTATATACATTTGTACATAATAAGAAGACTTCTAGTTATAATTCTTATAAATAAATATATTTAAAATTTACCCTTTGACCGATTTTTGTTTACATTAATAATAAAGAATAAATATTAATAAATTTTATTAAACTTATTTTTTTACAATTTTTAAAATAAGATTGTAATATGTTATTAATTAAAAATCCATGAGTAATCCTTAAAGAATAATATTGTTCAATCAAAAGATACAAAATTAGAGTAGAGTTTATTAAAAGTTGTTACGAGTAGTTAAAAGTTGCTCTTCTAATTCTAATTATTCTATCTATCATACAATTCCAAAGACCTAATTTTGATAAAACTACGCAAACTGAAAATAAGACAGGAACAATTCATATATGTTTCAGACTTGCGGTGAGCGACTGTGCGCCTCAAACGTCGCGGGTCAGCTCAAACTTGCACAGCAGCAGTAGTATGGCAGTAAGCCGTGTACCAAGCCCTCCACCACCGGAAGTGAACACCCCCGTGGCCGAAAATTGGTGTTACACGCAGGTATGTACTAAATATTGGATAAAACTCTGGACCAAACTCGAGTGTTTTTTAATTAATTTTGAAAAAAATAACACTTATTCCTTCTATTAATTAAAAATACATACATCAATTCTTTAAAAATTGTTTGACGAGGAAAATAAAATTAAAAAGAAAAAAATTATTTTTATCAGAAATTAAAAAATTCGAGATTAATTTTAGACTAATAATAAATTGTGCATTGTACAATATTTTTAACGATTCTTATAGTCCAAATGTGGCTTGTGTTGCGAGAGCAGCAGTGTGTATTGTTAGAGTTATCGGCATACTGAGGCCAATTTAATTGCAGTTTAATTGGTCGTTAACGATGATAGTGAGCTTCAGTTTTGATTGTCAGAGCAGGGAAAACGTTTTGTTCCACGATTAGAACAATAACATACATTTTAACAATTGATGATGCTTATCTCTTGAGAATTAAGATAATTCTGACATCTTTTCGTAAAAATTAACAATTATTTCAAACAAATTCAAATCGTTGGAATAACAAAGGCACAAGTACGAAACGATATAATCAATTGATTTAATTAAATAATTTAATTAAATAAGAAAAGAAATAATCGTTTCTTCTCTATGGAACAGATTTTACGTACGTCTCATCTTTGTAAAAATATCGCATAAAAATATAGCATATTGTAAATCTTTCCTTATTCCTAAAAAAAAAAAAAAAATTTGATTCTTCTCCAAGTTCGTAGAAAACTCTTAAAGGTTTTGGATCCTCCTCGAATCCTCCTCTTCTAGGTCAATTTCATCGTCTTCGTCGATATCATCCTCGTGGTCGCGCGTGAGACCACGCACTCCTGACGTTCTCGTTCTATTTTTACTGCTCGTCCCCTCGCGATGTGAATGACCTGCGACTAGATATCCCGCTGCTCCATGCGATCTCTAACTCACCCGTGGAAACGTTCGCCAGCTTTCCCGCGAGAATCTGTCACTTCAAAAGCTCGCAGAACGAAACATGAGGGTAAAATTCTCTCTCTCTCTCTTTCTCTCTCTTTCTTTTTTTTTTTTCTTCTAACAGGAAGCAAAAGTTATCTTCCATAATGATGTTTGAACTTAACGTTAAAATCTGAACTCGATCAACAAATTTTTTGAAGAAGTCGTAGATTCTTTAAAAATTGTTATATTTTCATCGTTTTTATAATTTTTTTTATTTCAATTTGATTTTTCTTGGTTTTTGTTTCAACGGTTAATATGGTCTTTCATAAAAATAATTTTGAAAGTATTTGGGCTAAAATTTGGAATTAAGATTAAAAAAATTATTATTTCACAAGCATTCTTCAGTTCTTCGTATTGTTTTACATTTCAAAATATCAATAGATTTATAAGAGAAAAAAATATTATATAATTAATATTGTAATAAAAATAAGAATTGCAGCATCGGGAAAAATTAAGAGGTATATAATTGTATTTTGATTTTTTATTGTTATTCCAGGATAGATATCTCTTTCCATTGAAAATTCGATTCGAAATCAATTTTACACTTGTTCAATAGTTTGAAGATATAAGAAATTAATTGCTGTAATAAAAATTTTAAAAAATTTAACTGATGGATTAGTGTGAAATGAGTCTTCTTCGATTGATGGTGATTTAAAAGAACATCTGGAGGATGTTCTGAGTGAAAGTGTCTTGTGAAGATCTCGTGGATTCGTTGTGGTAGGATGTGGTCATGAGCGAAGATGATCGATTCTGGTTTAAGTGTAATCTTGTGTTGTTGATAAATTGATGTAATTTGTTTTCTTCGTAGAATTTACACCATGAAATAATTTATAAAATGTAGTATTAGCATGAATGAAGATCATTTCAAAACATAAGTATTCCAAGATTGTTCAATAAATTGTATTTTTTGTAAAACTATACAATCGTACAATCGTTATCTAAAAATAATTAATTAATATATTAATTTTGTAATTATAATCAAATTAATTTAGCAAATATAAACACGAAAAATAAATAAGTTATTGGTTACAATCAATTAAAAATTTTATTACAAATTCAATTATTTCATCTATAAATTTAATATTTTAATATTATTTATTATTATTCAGAATAAACATCTTGTTGTATATATTTATATTTATTATATGTATTAATATCTTTAAAAATCTTCAAAATATTTTAAGACAACCTAATATTCTTAGAACAATTTCTCTCAATCTGTATTTGTCTCCAAAGTGATCAAAATAATTTTTTAATATTTTATTGATATTTTCACTAGAACATTTTATATTAATTTGCATATCTAAAAATAAAGTATCATATGTTATTTTATTCTATTAATTAAAGATTTTTATATAACGAGAAGAATTCGTTCAATTTTGTTACCAAAATAAGTCGCGTCTCAAAAAACAAAAACAAAATCAAAAAGCATTGATCTCTGATTGTAACCATTTTCATTTAATCATTTTATATGTACAACTCGCATAGGATCTCATTTAGAAATTAACATCTCGACCGATATTCCATTTTAAAAAAGAGAATCAAATCTCTCATGAAATTTTTCATGAGTGTTATTTACGTGATGCATACGTTATTCAGGATTGGAATCCTTCAAAGGGATTGTGATCTTCCTCTTTTCCCTTTTCCTCCTCCTTCAAAAGGTAAAGTTCGAAGGAATTCCAATATTCGAAGGAGTGTGCAACTCTCGGTTTTCAGGGAGGATCCATCGAATCGAAAGTCGATTCGTGCTCCAGTTAACTTTCGTAATGCATGCGCCGATTTCGCCTCGTCAGCGGACACGAGGAGTCTGGTGCAGCAATCATGCGAGCTCACGCGCTGTATCTGTCGTAACACGCCGATCGATGAGCTCGATAAAAAGCGTAGAAAGCGTTCTGGCATAATTTCCAATTGGTTCGTTCGTCTCACTGTTCAGAATCTCCTCTGGAGAATCGAATTTAGATGGTAAATTGATCTTGATGGGTCATTATGACAGGAAATTGTGCTTAGGAGATTGGTGGTTGATTAAAAATTCATTTCATTTGGAACTTCATTTCGTAATCATTCAGTGATTTTTCTCTGATTGTTTATTATTTATTGATATTTTGATTTGTTGTCTAGATTTTCTTTTAGCCGTTGAAAAAATTCGAGAAGAACTTCTTTTCTAACTTTTAAAATTGTATCCAAGATGGCGAAATCGAACGATTTTATAGTTTGATACTTTTTAACAAGTATTTATTTTATTTGCATAGATTTTCGATTTTTTTAGGTTATAAGGATTAAAATTAATTAAAGCTGTTTAATTTTTTATTAATACTTTAATCTAAAGATTAAATTTTCTCTTCATATTTGAGATTCTATTAAAAATGATTTGAATAATGTAGTAATTTTTTTTTTGAAAATTTTGATTTTAATATACATCTATAATATTAAATCTTAGAAAAATCCATAGAAAAGTTCCTAGTGATCTATACTTGGGTCTTTATTTAAATTTCAAGAAAGCCTATGAATTAAAAATTAATGTTAGTAATCTAATTAATATCTATTATCACCTCATCAAATGTAATTTTTAATTTAAGAATTTGAAATACTAATTCTCAATTAATTACTAATTCTTTGAAAATTAGAGAACTTCATTATTATGACTATAGAATTTTTCTTTGAAAGTTAAATTTTTATTTCTTTCAGACAAACATATGAAGATTCATTTGTTGAAATCAACTTTTTCTACTCAACACTGGAACTTTAAATTCCTTCGAAATGTTTTCTTTTCAAAATATTTTTCTTAACCCACATATACACACACACCATTTCACATCTTTTTACTCGATTTAGACTTCTTGTTAGCTTCGCCATTTCTTTGATCCACAGATTGTGGCAATTTTCCACGTTATTATTGTAAAATCTTTCAGATCTCTCAATTGTAACTGTTTATATTCTTGTTCTCTTTTATGTGAATTCAGCTCATCTTCGTTATCAAACTGATCTACAAACCGTGATAATTTTCTACGATAAATCATCATTCGTCAAATTATTTACTATTATATCTAATTTCTTTCTACGGTTTTATAATTTCAACTTTATTATTTGATTTAATTTTTCTTTTTTAGATAGATAATTAATTATATTATGATTGTTTTGAACGATTTTTAATAATTTAAATCAATCAGATATATAACAAAATATTACTACCTCCATTATTTATTAAAAGCTCAACAAAATTGCCTATTTTATCAACCTACAAATTCCAACAATAATCCACAGTATTCACGCCAATATAAGTTCATCAACTTTCTTCATTAAAGCAACCTAAATCACCCACGCATCCAGCCTACCTATTCAATTTCTTAATCAAATCTCGTCCCACTAGATCATCATCACCACATACCCAACAGCGTTCTCTTCACTTCTCAAAAATCTGGGAATCCCCAACAACCCCTGGCTTTCTTCCACACCCATTCATCTATCTGCAATTTTACGAAAGTCCCCTACGCTCTCGACTCGATTTTTCCACCAACTCCTCACCTCACCTAGACGCGAATTCCATATGCCAGAGTCATTATCACTCGTTGCCTTTCATTTCCACATCGTTATCTCGTGGCACGTGTTCCATTACACGAATCGAGCGACCTCGTCTCGCGATGAAACTAAGATCGAAAGAAGGGCCAAGCTCTTCTTCACCTTTTTTCTTTCTCTTTGCTGTTCTCTGTTTTCTTCATCTGCTTATTATACTTTTCTCTCTCTCTCTCTCTCTCTCTCTCTGATATTTTCTTCTTTTTCGACGTCTGGTTTTTTTCGAGATCTTCCTCTTTGAAGTCTTCTTTTTTAATATCTCTGAGACATCATTTTCTTTTTCTACATCTTTATTGTTCTTTCCTTTTGTTTTTTTTTTCGTCTTTATTGTTATCTCTTTATCTTCCTCTATATTCTTCTTTCCTCTTCTTCTTTTTATTCTATTTTCTATGTTTTTAACTTTTTGTTTCTTTCATTTTTCTTCTACGTCTTCTTCTTCTTCTTCTTCTTCTTTTCTT